GATATTTTAAATCTGCTTTGCTTCAGGAAAGCTTTAATACCAAAACCAAACCCACTGCCATGGAGTCAGATCCCACTCATAGTGACCCTTCCTTGGGTTTCCGAGGCAGTATCACTACTGAAATAGATTGCCCAACCTTCCTTCCAAGGAGTGGCTGGTGGGTTTGAACCACCACCCTTCTGGTTAGCAGTCAAATAATGCTTTAGGCACTAAGTCACCACAGCGTCTAGGAAAGCTTTCAACTTTAGGATTTTTTTTTGTGTGTGAATTGCCTAACTCATGGGTTAAACTATGACCAGCATTTCTGTTTTGCTCCAAACGACGAGAGAGAGAGAGAGAGAGAGAGAGAGAGAGAGAGAGAGAGAAATGTTTTCTAATATTCCTAATATTCCTTGTCTCCTAATGTTTTCCAAAGTGAGGTTAAAAATTACAAACATACCAAATACATCTGAAATGTTTTCTGAAGCTAATGGCTTTACCTTTTCAGAAAACACAATGTGGTATGGATACACCCTGTAACAGAGTGATATAGATGTTCTGAATTTCTCTGCAACTGAACTTGGGAATATCCTTTCTGATCCCATGAGTCCAAGATTTTTTTTCTGGCTTGAAAGGGTGCATTCACTCTAAAACTACGTGTCTAATTTATCAAAAAGTCACTCACAGGAAATGCTACCATTTATTCAGCTTTTGCTACGAGTTTTACTAAAGCCTTTTAACATGGTTTGTCCCAAGTAGTGAGTCCTAACAACCTATGAATTAGATGCTATTATCATCCTTATTTTACAAAGAAGAGTGTACAAATACACTTAGCTCTGAGACATAGATCTGTGGTGATGCAAACATAGACACATACACACACAGAGGCATTTGTTGTAGTATTTTCATGACAGCATTGCTGTCAAAGGTACAGACAGGAGCAAGACTGTATGGAGTCAAAAACCAGCACCACCACTTAGTGACTACTGCCTTGGCTTAGGGCAAAACCTCTTCATGCTTCACTCTTCTCATCTATAATTGTTATGTGCC